TTGAGATTAGATGGTGGTTGGAGTTAGTCAACAGTTCGATAGCATTCGATCTGCACTAAGATGGACGTGGCACACATGACATTGATCATCACCCAGTGATCAATCAATTGTGATTATATCTCAGTCCTACAGGAGTTCGGTTGCGGCCCGGATAGCTCAGTGGTAACGTCTGTGACTGTGAAGCTGAGTGACACTGGATTAAATCCGTCAGGGAGCACCAGATCCCTCAAGATAACAGGTACACCGTGCTGACGAGTGTTAATTAGCACGAAACTCGGGTTCAGAGTTTCCTGTTGACTACCTCCAACCACCATCTTAGAATAAGACATCTTTTTGATTCAATTGTTATATATATATATATAAACTAACTCAAATATTAATGAATGGATGTGATTACATCTATAAGGTAAATTTGATGCATTTTTATTTTTGAAAATTATTGTTCTAGAATTAATACAAAATAATTTAAACTGAATATGTACCTTTTTTAGAAAGTGTTACATTTATAGTATGTTAAGCAGAAAGAAAAGAGTACACTAAATATATACTATAGACCTGTTAAGTTTCTTTAGATGTAACAAGTAAAATATTTGAGTTGTTAATGTTGAAATCATGGGACATAAATCATCAACTTATTAATAATAGTTGATATGTTAAACAGTTGAACCCTTTTTAATAAATTCCTTTACATCATTAAGTAATAATATCATGACATCATTAATTGACATATTTGTATATTTTACCAAGGGATGAAAGTTCCTCTGTAATGTCATATGATAAAGTATAATCTGTGATGTAACCTGAAAAAAACAATCTATGTGTTAGAGGGGAATGTTTGCTTTCATTTATATCAATGATAATTATATTCACTGAAAAATAAATATTATTCAGTATGGGGGTTGTGGAGATTTTTAAGTTTTTGGTTGAGATCATGAATTAATTGATGTTAGAGCTAATCCGTGTCGGGTAGAGACAGTTATCTACCTCAGTACAATGGAAGGTGGTCGCGCAATTTCGTTGGATTGGTTGATCTTAGACACTAACACCATTGGATGCCGGCTCAGTGGTCTAATGGTTAAGTGTTCAGACGCGAAGCCAGTAGGTCCTGGGTTCGAATCCCGCGGAGTGCGGGATCGTGGATGCGCAGTTCTGAGGAGTCCCATACTAGGACGAAACGGCCGTCCAGTGCTTCCAGGTTTCCAACGGTGGTCTAACATCACTTAATTCATGATCTCAACCAAAAATATTATTCACACAATAACTTGGAATGTTTCTAGTTGAGAAAAAGTAATCATATTGAGTAGTACAATGAACATAGACAAACAATATCAGATATGTTTTTCTCTTGTCAACATTCTTTTTCATTAATGTTCATTGAGGTGACAAATAAGTTTATCATGATCACTTATTTAATAGTGAACCGAATCAATGTTGGTTAATAGGGAAAATTGTCTTTAAGCTAAACTATTTTCCGTAAATTTTTCAATCAAACATAACAGTAATGATTTGTCATAAGAATTATGTTCAGCATCAACAATATATTTTACTCATTTATAAGATTAAAAACGATTTATCTACAATTTATCAAATTTCTTCAATTAAACGTCAGAGATTTTGTTATCGGGTATAAAATTTTGCACTTAATTCCCTCAAAATAAACAGTTTATCTTATGTATGACATGTTCTGGAAACAAGAAAAAAAGTGTTAAATCCACTGCTCATTTTCTGTGCACTGCAAAGATTTTTTTACATAATCCAACCGTAAATTACAATCTCTTGAGAAAATTTACACTAATAATTCACACATATACATTGGTACAAGAAGGCACCAAATACATATGATCTTAAAGTATATTTTAATGTTCTTCTTCCATACATGTTGTCTATTTAACTATGCTCATCTTTCTGCTTCTGTGATAAATATTTCTGAAATCATACCTATCACGTACTATTCAGAAATAATCGTACATTTGATGGAGGTTTCATCTCATTTTGAACCTTTAAGTTATTGATTAATAAATCACAATGGTATATCACAAGTCCGAGTATCATGTTCAAGGAATGTCTAGTTGGTCAGGTTGAACTCTTTATCTATTTTGAAACCTAGAAGTTGAACATATTTTTTTCCTGGAATACTTAAATGGGTAAACTGTTTATTTTTGAGCATATTACCCATCATGTAGACACTTTCAAAAGGTATATTGCTATTAAAATGCTAGGATAAGTCTTTAATTTTAATTCGATCAGTTTACAGTCTTTGGATTGACTTCGATCGTTGTCATTTAAATCTTAAAGTATAGGTTTTTTTTATTTGCCTACAAGGTATATGTACCATATGCCTACATTTCTACGTTATAGAACCATTTCATGTGAATTCACTTCATAGGATAAATTAAAATAATAACAAATGGCTGAAGTTTCAAATAAAATTTCATTTGTAACTTCATGTCACATGAATGTTATTGTTTATTATGATCATGATAGAAAATCTCAATTAATAAATCTTAAAAAGAATTAGTTATTAAATAAAGTTCTATTTGTACAACTCCATGATTAAATAAATAAATTTGTTTTTGATGAGGTTTTGTTCTCTGAACTGGATGATTTAGTGGTGGAGCTTTTATCATTCTTCTGAATGACATCATAAATGCAAACTTCTACTTCTACCTGAGCAACAAATCTTCTCCACCATCTCAGATAAATATGTCTAATCCATCATCAGTCAACAATCTAGAAAAAAGAATTTTGTGTATGTGTACAGATTAGATTGTGAATAAACATGATTGTTAGTGAAAAATTCTCGTGGACATCTGTTTTACTATTTCGATGAAGTGAGAAAAATTAAATACTTTACATTAAATATTTATTTAAAAATAGAAAAATCAAGAAAAGAAATGTCGCTGATAAAAATAATATGAGTAAATCTAATCTGAAGTTAACTTTGATTTGAAGTTTTCGTGTAGGTTAATCTATTGCTTGATTAGTTGTTTATCTATGCTTCTTTAAAAATAATTAATTTTTTGTGGAGGCCCGTTATTTAATCGTCATTTTGATCGGACGATGTTGTCGAAAGGGCCCTCCACTTTAATGGCCCGATGATCTGACTCCAATTAGATCGTATGAATGTTTGTTATCAAAATATATATATCACATATTCTCGTATATAATTATCGACTTAAATCGCGTTAGTCAATAACGGAATTAAATAAGTCAAATAACGAGAATGGACTTGTGAATACATATATTTTGTATATAAAGCGAATGAAATAGAGAGAAGAGAAACGACGCATAGTGGAGATGGCGGGTAAGCCAACTCCCCTTTAACCAAGCGTTAATCAATATTTATAGTTACACAAAAGTAATTTACGGATATGTGATGAGTAGTGGGATAAGAAGTGTACACACACCTACGCGCTCATATAAAAACAGTCAAGATTGATAAGCGAATAATTAACAAGGTCAGGATGTGACTCAAGTAGAATGAATAGGATGGGCTGTCCGTAAGCTAGAATAAGGTCTATGGGCTTAACATAATAACCGACACTACAAATTTCAATCCATTAAAATGTGTTAACTTATTTAAGTGAACTGAATGAAATAATTTGTTCAATTATTTCATGAACTGAATTATTATAACTTTTGATGAAATTTACATGGACTTCACGAAGATTTATTATGGAGATAACGTGATAAAGATTCCAACTCTTGTCAGTTAAATCAGTCATTGCATTAAGGAGTATCATAAAAGGGATAAGATAAATAGATCCTATATTACAAAACTCACGGTTTTCATAATTTAGTTCGTATATTTATATTTTATTTATTTATATTATACTGTATAATATATTTAACACAGTAATGGATATCTTGTTTTTGAATCAACAGTGTAAAAATATAATTTATGTTTTACTAGAAACCTAGTAGTCTTGTAGTGAACGAGGATATAAGTGGAGACAATGGAATGTATTAATACAACATAACAGAATATCTTAGTAAAATCTGAGGACCGTACAGTAAATACTTCATTTGCAAAATTTCAACCAATCGTCTCAGATTTCATTACTCCTTTGTTTCCACACCAATCATTCTCTGTTCTCGTTCTATTTTCTTCATTCTTCTTAATCTTCTCCTATCAGGTATTTCACTTTCGATTGGTACTATTTATATCTGTCGAAATCAGTAGCACACACTACAGCCTATCCTCAGTCAATACACTTGAATCATTTTATGTTTAGTATTGTTTTCACGATAAAACAATCGGACAACAGATTAATAGCAATTAGATAGGATCAACGTATGATGTATAACAAGAAGTTAAATGTGAAGAAGAACACAAAAATTGCTTTACTTACGAGAATATCTAATTAGACAGTGAAATATTTCATTTTTCCAATATCTTTTAATTTTTTTCATTACATCTGATCGAAAAACTGATAGCTTTATCTGATTTACTAAAAATGGGCTGCTGACCAGTCATTTGTTCTGAAGCTTTGACGGCTCAATTTAGTCTGTCACTACTTTCCCCAACACAAATATGAAGACATAACTTTTGTATTTTTATTTCCCTCATCGGGTTATTTGTTTTCTCTTTAACTTTTCTTTTTTTTACAATCATTTTGCGCAGATCATGCGTGCATATCAACGCGCCAAAAGTGAAATTACTGAGCTTTGACTTAATGACAAAAGTCATATTTGTATAAAGAAACATATCTCAGAAACTTAAGTCATATCATCAAATATAAGCAAAATTTTACTCAAACAATTAAAAAAATTACAATATATCTATAGTTTAAATAAAGCGGCAAATATTATAAAATAGTTACTAGGGGATACTAAAAAAAATAAGGAACCTATGAAAACCATCATAAATCTTTTTTGACAAACACTTGGGGAAAATATTTGATAGAATTTATCTATAAACTTACCAAGTATCAAATATAGTGTATTCTAATATAATTCAAATAATTTTCTAAAATTTTGATTTTCATATTTTATTACAGACGCGATGCAATGAATAATCAACATCAACAAAGAACAATTAAGAATGTTGGCTATCGTTTAGGTAAACGAAAACGTCTATTTGAGAAACGATGTCGGATATCAGATTTTTCATTAAGTTTCGCTGTATTTGGTATATTAGTCATGTTGGTTGAGACGGAACTTATATTTGCTGGTGTTTATGAAAAGGTTAGTCAACTCACTGAATGCTTTGTTTTAATTCACAGTTATTTCTTTAATTTATTGCAGTTTTCATCTTGAAAGGTAGTATTGTAACGAATGAGAAGTCATATGAGAACAACCAGTTTATTGTTTGATACAAAATTACAGAACATCATCATAAAATATAAGAACCATACATTAAATGATTCATTTGCAAATCTTTTATCAATTGTTCTTCACATTGCGTGATTCATCCAATTCTCAATTCCTTTCTATTTCCCTTTCTGTTTTGGTCAACTCGATCTTGTTAGCCTTCTGCTGCCAAGTTCTCCACTTCCGATTGGTGTTACATACTACTTATTTTTGTTGACATAAGTAGCATACGCCACAGTACCAGGGAGCCAAACGTTTATTTTATTCGCATTGATCGAAAAGTTGTTTTTCCTCTCGTTCAATACAAACTGAAAGCGAACACATAATGTCTAGTTGGTCCATAACTTATTGGCTTATTTTCTTACGTCACTCACTAACAATTTTGTTTTACTCTTGGTAAACACATTTAGGTAATAATTAGATTTACAAACCATTAGTTTTCAATGGTGGTCTAGTTTAGATCGACTTGTGAATTTAACTGTTATAATACATATATATCTGATTGAACCAACGAAACGTTATACAATTGTTTAATTTTTCAAAATAGGTATTGTAATTTTGACATAAACATCTATATCAGATAGTTACTAAGAAGAGCCTCAAAATCACTATTAAATACTCTATTATATGTACGTGACAAGTCTTTGGCAGGTTAATCATTTACTTTCTAAAACACGATTGCGTAATCTATTAATCTATCATACACCGAATATAAACATTTACAATATAAACTTTACATTTTAATTTCCTTCAGAGCACCTATTCAATATTTTCTAAAATTAGCTCCATTCACATATCCACCCTTGTCTTCAGTGAGTTACTATCTCACAACTGACCCGGCTTAACTCCACTGGTCACTGCTTCTCACTAGAACTCCAGGAAATGCCACTTGAAGTCAGTCACTAGTGAGAGGATGATTATTATCAGAAGGGATATCAGCTCACTGAAGACAATGGTGTACGGTGGTGCAATTTCGTGGATTGGTTGAAGCTAGACATTAACATCGTTGGATATCAACTCAGTGGTCTAATGGTTAAGCGGTCGCGCGCGAGACTGATAGGTCCTGGTTTCGAATCTCGTGAAGCGGGATCGTGGATGCGCACCGCTGAGGGGTCCCATACTAGGACGAAACGGCCGTACATTTCTTCCAGGTTTTGTATGGTGGTCTAACTTCAATTGACTCATAATTTCAACCAGTGAAATTTCAAAAATCTCCGCAAAAGCCCTTCTGAAAATTAAAATCAGCAATATGCATATATGAATGATAGATTGAGTTTATAGGATTTCCGGAAAGTAATGTTAATCGGTCATCTTGTTTGATTTTTATCATAATTTAATACACAAGTGAACGATTCATTTTCACATCTTGAAATAAAGCCATATGTAAACTTCACTTGGTATTGTTTACTTGAATCCTCTCATTGATGTTTAATCAATGTTTGATCAGTCTCATATTGGCATATGTGCATACTGTGCGTGTTGTCTAAATATCGCCTTAATTCACATGCAAGTGGGTATCAGGACTCAGTAGCTAAGTGGATAACGCGATGGCGTATGAAGCGAACGGTACTAGGTTAGTGTTTCAGAATGAATATCAACTCTGGGATATAGGTACATACAGCTGACAAGTCCCGAATGGGACGAAACGCACATCCTGGATTCCACTCCTAGCCACTATCTATCTTTGCTTAGAAAGTTGAAACTTGTATAGAATTAAATAATTAATTTTCATTCTATTTTGATATCATTCACATACACCCATTAATTTTGTGTTAAAATTGAATATTTTTTTAAAATGAAAGTAATGACCTACACTTTGTCATGAAACGTCAAAATAAGAAATTCAATTTTTCACTGGTTATCATTATTATTTTATTATATAAGGACAAATGATTTTATTTGAATATGGAAAAATGTTTTCATGGTTCATTTATACTTTAATCGAAAACATTTTATTGAGAAGGAGTTATAGTGTCAGTTACTATGTTAAGCTGATATAACTTATTCTAGCTACTGGACAAGCTAATTTATCCATTCTTCTTGAGCCACGTTTTAACCTTGTTACTTATTCACTTATCAACTCTAACTTTTTATATGAGCGCGTAGGTGTGTGTACATCTTATCCTACTCATTACATATATGTAGCTTATTTTTGTGTGACTATAAATATTGATTAACGCTTGGCTAAAGCGAGTTGGCTCACAAGCCTTCTCTACTGCGCGTCATTTCGCTTCGCTCTCTTCTCTTCGCTTCGTTTCTCTGATTGTCTGTCCAAATCAATGAGTGTACAAAATATACGTATTCAAACATTTATTCTCGTATTTTACTTATTTAATTCCGTTATTCACTAACGCGATTCAAGTCGATAATAACATACGAGAATAATCAAGATGTATATTTCAACAGAACTCATTCAATGACGATCATTTGCCCGCTTTAACTGGAGTCAGATCCTGGGCCACTAAATAGTTTGAAACTGACCAATTGATGTTTAATTTATTGTCAATGAGAAGATTATTCTGGTTATCATATCTACTGAACACTGTATCAGTTCCAGACATTAAATTATATAAAGAATATATTTTGTTTTAATTCCAAGTTTTTGACTGATACTTGAACAAGCGAAAATGGAAGTAAACCAGTATATGAAACTTATAAAGAAAAATCGAACGATAAAATAATGAACATGAATTGTTTTTGCCTCTAATAAATTTGATAACTACTAAGGTAACTTCAGAATGATTGACAGAGTATTAGAATTAAGAATATATATAGCAATTGCTTACTAATTACTCAATTGTCAATGAGTGATATTTTAATTAAATCTGTTGTCAATGAACAAGAAATAAAGTCGGTTGATTAGGGTTACAAACTGATTTATTTTTAAAACTGATTTTGCTCTTCCAACACGATCTTACCACGAACTAGCAAAACACCTAGAACTACTAAGTACTGAAAAATATTTCTGTCCTAGTTTGAGATTTTTTAACGGTATCCTTAATAGATACTAGTAATCATTTTACTCACTATTAAGCGTTTTGTTACACCAAGAATACTATGGAAAAGATATGCAACAATCCATTAAATTCTCGTTGTATTTCTACATGGTTTGTAAACATTTAGCATGTTTGTTGGGAAAGATTTAGATACAATTTATCTCTTACTATCTTGGATTAGCTTTAATCTTTTTGTGTCGTTTGTCATGGTATGACATATTTGATGCTTGATTCTCACCATAATTACTTCTCGTCTCATCAATGGACAGACATAGGTGAAAATACTACCAAAAGCGATGGTAGTTTAACCCGAATCTTGCAATGATAAGCTCAGAGATAAACTGTATTTTGTTTAATAATAGTATATGAGTATATGTGCGTAACCTAAATAATCACTTAAAAAAACTGAAACTATCAGAATTTATTTCGATAATTTCGTACATAGAAAGAAATTGTATAACTAACGGATCTGAGCAGGTATCAAAATAAAATGTTGCACAATCATCATATTTCTGATGATAAATGTATGTCTATGGTTCTAAATGTAATGTGGAAGAGATGTTATAGAATTGAACATAAATATTGCCATGATTTTTATCCACTGATCCAACACATATAATGAACAATTTGATTAGTTTAAATAAGAGTACAATAGAATTGTTGACAGAAACAGCTTGTTTCAACTTAGATTTATTCAACAAATAATATAACTTATTTTCCAAGTGTGACTTTATATGAAGACAATGGTGGACGGTGGACCAAATTCGTGGATTTGTTGAAGTTGGACATTAACACAGTTTGATGTCGGCCCAGGGGTCTAGACGTACTGGATTCGAGTGTTGTATGCGAGGTCGTGGATGTTCACCGTAGAGGAGTCCTATACTAAGACGAAATGGCCGTCCAGTACTTCCAGGTTTTCCATTGGTGATCTAGCTTTAATTGACGCATGAATTCAACTATAAAAAATCTATTTGTCTGACATAATTGTCTGGGTTATTATTAATTTAATTATAAATAATAATATTATTTACTAATTAGATCATTTACAAAGAAAACGTTAAACAATAAATTCACAATATTGTCTTTTATCTAACTAAACAGCTGACCTATTTCGATCTGAATGCTTTTTGTTGTTGTTGAAAGAATTAGAGAAAAGAAAAGAAAAAAAACGAAACAATAACTAGGAATTGATTTTAAGACAATCTATAAATGAATATTCTTAGTGAATAAATTTCACTAATCTATATAGATCTCCTGTCAATTAACTTTGAACTCATTTCTTTGTCATGTATTCTTCTATTTATTTGTGTTTTTTTAATGTTTCAAAGGGATCATAACCATAACGTCGGTCAAATGAGTTATTCAATGAAAATGAGATCAAAATTAAATATAATTAGATTATTTCATATATTCTGATCCGTTTGTTTTTTATGGATAAAATTTGAATAAAATTAGAAGAACAAGATTTATTGAATAAAATGAATTCATGAATAGTTTAAATCTTCTCATAAGATTATATACCCAAAGAGATATGTTATTTCATTGAAGAATAAGTAATAGGAAAACAGAAAAAAAATCAATGATGATTTTCTTTCACATGATATCATTTATAGGTATCATTACGAAGGTTTGACTTGATAATTTGGTTATTTATTCTCTGACGAAGTGGCTTACAATGAGTTAAGAAACTTCAGATAATCTAATTTTTTACTCGTTAGGATGTTACAATGGAAGATGGTCGTTGTTGCTACCTTGACGTGGTGGTCGGGCTTGCCTATCGTGATGAAGCAACCGAGCTATACTGGCTGGAACAACCGTTCCTCAAGGTCCTACCATGTCAGACAGGTCGGTTGAAGAGCGGTAAGACTAAAATCAACA